CAGTGCTACCAACTGCGCCACCTTGCAGCCCATCTATTATTTATAAAGCAGAAAGGAAGCATCAAAATGACAAATCATATATTGTTAAAATTTTAAAAATGTGTAAGTATTCATGTCAATTAGTTACCATGGAACAGTTAGTATCACTAGTATCAGTTTCCCATATTTAAAGTTCTAAAATATCTCAGGAACGGTCACATTTCAGACTGCTAGAAGTTTATTTTTTTTAAAATATATGATATACTTTAAATATGCTTGTGCAAATTGTTACAGGGATTTTTTTTCAAGTAAATCTTACAAGTTTGTTGCTACAGAGACTGAAATTGTACATATGCAAAAACACATGCAAAACACACTATAATAGTAATAATAAAAAGAAATGTTGTTGCCTGCAAGCTCACCTTCCTTCCACACTTAACTGTTTATTACCATTACGGACATTAATCAGATTTCACTTTGACTGTTAAACTGACTGGTATTATAAACATTATATTACTGGGTGGCAGAAAATCTGAGTTTAAAGTAAATGTGATCACCAAATTAAATGATTGTACAATTATGTGTACTATTTTGTACCAAAACAGGTGGATATATAGAGCACATCTCCTATTTGTCAGATATCGCCTGTCATGCTTACCATTATTGTCTTGCTACTCAATCAAGAAAAAAATCAAGTTTATCATACGTGTACACAGCAGTAAGATGCTGAATATTATATTTAGCCGAAAACGGTGATAATCACAGCAAAACCTCTTTTCTATGCAATAAAAAATGTACTTTTAAAAACAAATTTTTGTTGTTGAGATTTTACCCATTGTATTAAATTACAGATAATATCTACTAAAGTATTTATTTACTGTAAGAAAACAGGCCACAATAGTAAATAATGTTCACATCATTGTATTTGTATTGTATTTTTACAAGTAGTGATTCGTTCTTTTACGTTTGACTGTAAAATTGCACTATTTTGTACCGTATTTAAATCACAAAAAATATTCTTTATACTCTTTTGATTGATGTATTAATTTAAGATTGAAAAAATGAAATATTTTAATAGTATTTTATGTTATATTGCTGTTTTTTTCCTCTTTTGTTAAACTATATGTAGTAAAATCACAGAGTATTATTATTTTGACTGTTAAAAAAAACATAAAATGGCCAAAATGGTTCATATTGCCCGATTTAAAAATCTGTATTATTACATATAGTGTTTTGTTCTTTTACAATGTATGCCTGTTTTTAAATTAGTCAAGAAATGTCAGTATTTTACAGATATTTGCCGCTATCACCAATGTTTATATTTCCTTTGTTTTTATTTAATTATTTTCTATCACCAAGAATATAATGTTAATATTTTATCATGTAAGTTGTGTTTTCTTTCATTAAAATAAATAAAATGATTTGATTTAGAAAAGCAACAAACTGGCGCAGAAAAAATGTACCAGAATGCAGAAAATTTGTGAAGCCCAACATGTCCAGACCTTTTGCCTAATATCTCCCCAAATGTTTAAATGAAAATATAAACCTTCAGTATACATTCATGTGACAAGCTCAATTCAGAAAGCAACAAACCAGCACCTTGTTTCATATCCTTCTACCATCAACGGTGGAAATGTTATTTTCAGATAGTTCTGCTGGATCTTTGTCGTCGCTCCTCCTCAGCACTTTGTTCAGGACCTTCTTGAAGGAGCCACTGAAGGCAGGACTTGAGAAATAATAGACCACAGGGTTGAGGACGCTGTTGAAGTAGGTGAAGCACACCGACGTGTAGAAGGCCAGGTTGGCCTCTTTGAAGTACCTGCACTCGTCGTACCACACCTTGAGGATCCACACTGCGATGCGCGATATCGTGCTGGGGAAGAAACAGGTGATGAAGATCAAAGCCACGGCCAAGACGAACTGCACCGCCCGCTTGATTTTCCCCTTCTTGTCCACGGTCCTGGTCCTCAGCTGCCACGTGATCCTGATGGTGCAAAAGGCCACGATCGCAGTGGGCAGGAAAAACTGGACGACATAGAAAGTGTTGTGCCAGGTGGAGAGGGGGCTGAAGCCCATGCAGATGTTGAAACTCTCACACTGCGTCCGGTTGCTGTTGAAGAAGAAATGCTCATCAGCGAGGAGGTACCCAGTGGCGAGAAATATCAGAAACCAGAGGCCGAGCGAGACCCAGAGGGCATAGCCAAGGCCCATCCGATTGATGCGGTTCATCGGGTGGACGATCTTGAAGTAGCGGTCTACAGCTACAGCTGTGAGGAAGAAGATCCCTGCTGCCCGGTTGGCCGCGAGCAGAAAGAGCAGGATGCGACACGGGACGTCACCGTGGAGCCAGTGTTTGCCACGTCTGTAGTAGTCGGCTCTGAAAGGGAGGCAGAACAGCACGATGGAGTCGGCCACGGCCAGGTGGGTGAGGTACACGGCGTTGGGCTTCCACTCATCCATGTGGAAGATGAACATCCACAGCGCCACAAAGTTCCCCATCAGGCCAAACATGAACTCCAGGATCAGAATCGGAGGCAAAACCTGGTCCAGGATGGGAGACTCGAAGGCGCAGCAAACTGTGTCTGTGAGATTCATCCTCTGTCCTGGCAAACACCGAGCTGCTGCTGCTGCTTTATACAAAGTCAATACAGATTTGCCTAGGTGTATACTGTGGAAAGATAATTCTGTTTGCACTCACACAAATGGTCCAAAGACAAACATGCAAACTCACTAGTGAAGTGAGCATCTGTGGGCTGTTATCTGCTGGGAGGTGATATTGACCCAAAGGAGCAAGGAAACAACCGTAAACGTTTTCTGTCCAGGGAGGGCAGCTTCATTAGAAAACTATTATGCAGGGGAAAAGCTTCACTCATGGGTATTTGCATGAAAAACAAGTAACCTGCGGCCACCTGCAAGACTCAGATAAAACACAGCGAATCACAGCCCTGAAAAGAATTCACTTTTAATGCTTTCACACACTCATGGAAACCAAAAACAATTGAAATGACGACTGGAGCGTACAGGCGAAGGAGACTGAAATTTATTAGCCTACAGTTTTGCTTGAGTGAAGAACATTTGGGAAGGATTCACGTCATACCACACCTTTGGCAAACGAGAGAAAGCAGCTATTATTAACTAAAAAAAAAAAAAGAAAGAAAAGAAATTTGCCAAGTGAGTGGCCAAGTCCGCAGCTTTGTATGTACAGTAAATAAAATAGGTATAAAATGACTTAATGTGTACATTTGGCCAGGTTGTCGCTGTTACAGGTCACATCCATGTCAGTAAAAGTGCATATTTGGTCTTCACTTCTTGACTTCACCCAGATCGTCGATGCTGTCATCGTCCACCTGCAACACACAGACGCAGGAGTCAGCACTGGTGTGTTTGTTGGGTTTCAGAGCCCATTTTTTTTAAAAACACTAACAAATACATTGAGGTTTGGCGCACCTTTTGCACATTTATAATTTAAAGCTAGAGATATTCTTTGTTTTGCTGCCATTAAATACATAAAAAAGGACCCAAGTATTGTGACTGTATCCAGGTCATCCCACTAAAACACTAAATGTGTATGAATTAGACTCTCAGAATTCTCCTCTCAAGCTGCAATCATTCACCAATTTGCTGTCATTTATTAATCACCAACTATTTACAAATCGATTAATCAGAGTAAACAAAAAGGGCTCGTTTATTTTATTCCAGGTTCTAAAATGTTAACACTTTACTCCTCTATGAAAGTAAACTGAATCACTTTGTCTTGTGTACAAAACAAGAAATTTGAGGAAACAATTGATATTTTTTACCATTTTCTGAGATTCTACAGATTAAATAACTAACTAGGAAAATAAACAATAGCTAGTTGAAGCCCCAGTGAAATAAATAAAACAGAATCATAAACTAGTGATGAATGATACGCAAAGAAAACCCTCAATTTGAACAGATAGGAGTCCAAATTTTAGATGGAAGAACAATGTTTTCATTTTTTACCCACTAAAGCAAAAATATAGAGGTGATGTGATTTTTGCCACAGCTTGTACCAAACAAGTGTGTTCCCTTAAATGTGAAGAAAATAATGTGTAGGCTGCAGCAGCACAACACTTCATTTGTTAATATTATTCTGTGACACAGTTTACCTTTACAAAAGAAAATGCAGCTACTGTGATTTGGATGCTGCACCTGGCCATCTTGTGGTTTTGATATTCTGTTGAGTGCTTGTTCAGACTCACTTATAATATAACTGAAAGTAGTACAAGACAACTTGTCAAATTGTAAATAAGTATTTTGAATTTGATGCCACATCATCATCACTGTATTTTGTTTATTTCCATCCTACTTTGTTGTTAATGTTGCTAAATACTTTGTTTTACTATATTTAAATCAGTTGGGGGGGAGATTTTTTTTTTTTTTTTTTTTACAGCTTCGCTTTCCATTTTTTCCTGGTTCCTTGCAGCCAGATTTTTTTTTCTCTTTATTTTCACAGTGTACTAGTATTAAAAAATGGAGAAATAATAAAGACAGAACTAAGAACTATGTAGACAGTCAAGCCTCTTCTCTCCTGACTCCAACTACATTACATATTCTTTTTAATCAGTGTATAGAGAAATTCAGTGTCTATAAATTCCACAGTACAAGGCAGAGCTGCCTCTTACAGTGAAAATGAAGTTGGCAGCAATCATGAGGGTTGCAATTACGCAATTACACAGAAAAATCTCACGATGCAAGCAAACCCTTTCGAGTTTTCTACAAAGGCAGACGGCTCACCTCAGGCCACTTCTCTTGAATGACGTCGATTATGTCGTCTGTAAAATCTCCCTGAATGATTATTTCATCCTCGGCTGTAACTGAGGCACCACAAGAGAATTTCTGGGCAAAGAATCGCTGAGCCTCTTTAAGGTCGATGTCTGCAAAAGTAAACACAGGAATCGCAATGAGGACAATGCATTAAGAGAATGAGAACTAAATAGGAGAGAGATAAATAAAACCCTCTTACCAAATGTTGCCAGGCCACACACCCGTGTGACGTATTTCTTCTTGGCTCTTGGGATTTTTGCTATTGTGACTTTCTGAGGCACAGTCTTCTTTTTCTGTTTGATCTGGCCTCTTCCACCTTGAAGCGGAAATCGAAAGAAGGTGAAAGTCTTTCAAAGCTCCCGCATGTATATGGAGATGTATGCGTGTACTGTCAAGGGTTTTGGTGCCTCCTGGAGGATTTAAGGCTCCTTCAAAGGAAAATCACCGAAGTCTAAATGATCACTGAGGTTGATTTTATTATTTCTTTTAAATCAGTTTAGTTAAATTGGGTTTATTTACTCGAGGATAATACACACTTGTTTATCAAATGGTAGACAGAAATAACAGGAAAACACAGAGACTTCTGTCAAAAAGGCGAACACCAACTCATTGCCTCTCATCAATAATGCTCAACAAAGATCCATCCTGAGCCAGTAATAAGTTATGGACCAACGTCAAGCAGCCTACTTGTCTGACACGTTTCCAGTCTGTAACTGTGTTCAGTCTCTCAGACGTTCTGGCACGTTACATCTTTTAATTGTCCCAAAGTTCAAGACACAAACTATTGGCAGTGTTTCAGTGTTTTATTACCTGAACAGTCTGCATGAGAGCAGCTCAAAGTGCGAATATCTTTAAACGCCAACTTAAAACCTCCGTCTTCAGTCTGGCTTTCAATTGGAATCTTTCATGGCCTTTATTTTATTCGGTTCATGTTGTAAATGATTCCCTCTCATCAACTGCATTTATTATCTGTATTTGATTGACTTCTTTTTCACCATTTCATCTCTAATGTGCATTAGTCTCAAGTTGTTTCAGTTTCCATTTAAACTGTCTTAGCACACTATGAATTGCACAAACGGTGCTACACGAATTAAGCTTGATTGAGATCAGAGAAAGTAGCTGCTCAATGAATCTCTGCTGCAGTTATCAGAAATTAACCACTGATCTCACTGAAGGATTCACATGGCAGACAAATCATCAAAGTCTTACTTTGTTTGATACACAGAAAAAAAAAAATCAAACATCATGAGACACAATCTACACCAGACTCTGAATCATGGTTTGTCTGATATTCACCTCTCTTCTGCTTCTTCTTCTCCTCCTCCTCGCCTGCAGGGGGAGCATCTCCAGTGCCGGGTTCCTGCTTGGGCGTGTTCGCTGCCGGACCAGTGGGACCGAAAGAAAATGGGAACACGTTAAAATCAAGCAGGCAGTCATATTGATTACCTTCCAGATGATTACTTTATGTGCAAACTGACAGCTGTGTTCACTGACACATGAGGCAACAAGTCAACATCATTACACACCTTTGGACAAAACCATCTGGCTTCTTTAGATGTGAGAATCTATTTTTTATAGGCGTTTATCTCATTAAAAAGCCATTTCTCAAACACACTGTGCAGTCAGAGCCTTTACAACAGCAAAACTCCACTCAAAATACATGATCCCAAATAACAGCATGAAGCTGTGTTTCTATTTATCATAATCATTTTATTCCTGAATTTGACAGAAAAATATTTCACAGCTTTTAGCACATATATACATACTAGCACTGCAACTAATTCTTACTTTAATTATTAACTAATCAGTCTTTTGTTTTCTCAATTAATGGATTAGCTTTCAGTTTCTTTTGTCCACAACCCAAAGATATTTCGTTTGCTGTCGCAGAAGATTAGAGAAGCCAGAAAATGTTCACATTTAAGAAGCTACGACCAGTAAATTTACCTACTAATTAAATGATCATTGCCACTATAATACATACAGCGTTTCTGAATCTGTTTACCTGACCATTTTACCCTGTAATTTGTATAAAGTATGTAAGACTGTGACAGGAGCAAAAAAGAAAACACCCAGAAACCGCTTGGAGTTCACAGGATTATTACTGAGCAAGTAATCCTCCATGTTTGAGGATGCATCCGGTATAAGCAGCAGCAGAGCATCTGCCTCTTATGAGGTAGGGGATTTATGTTGGCCTGAGAGACCCAGTCGGAGCTCCGCCTTGGACAGCAGCTCCATCACCTTTTTCGATAATGGTCTGAATTGAATTAAACGCAACATCAGGCTGCTATCTGTGCATTTACTGCCAGAGAGGAAAGAATTCTGACAGACTGGAAGGAACCCAGAAACTAAAACTGAATTCTACATTTACTTCATGTGAGTCAGCATGTTTAGTTCTCCTTCAGATTGTATTTTTTATTTATTTTTATTTTTTTAATTACATAAAGCCTAAATATTCATGGACCACATTCACAACAGCAAAACAAACGTTTTAGCCCATTAAACCAAACTGCGGGCGGCTCTGTCATTATAACCTCATGCTATGCAGTCAAACATTGTCCAAATCCACACTACTTACCATAAAATGTGACAATAACAATACTTCAAAAGATATTTACATTAAAATCCTTTGACAGAAAACATTAGTGGATCTGATCACTTAACAAGTGGAGCTCGATTCACTCTGTGTCACAATCATGAAGCGCAGCAAACAAAAGTTAGACCACAACATGTGTACATTAAAAAAACAATATATATTTGATGCATTTTTATTGCCCTGCTCTATTTTTTGTCACCAGTGTTTAGAGCACTGTATGTACACTTTGAGGAAATTGATGAAGAACGTCTTAAATGATCCTCACCTACAGTCATCCTGGCAAACACATCCGGAAAGTTCTTCTCTAGCCACTGCCTACATTTGGCTGGCTCAGGCATGTACTCGCAGTACTGCAGACACAACAGCGTTGATTCATTTATAACTCAGCTGAGAAAATATATCTGACGGCATATTAATAGTAAAGTGGGTCACACAACAGAATATACAATTTGTCTGATAGTCAAACTCACCTCAGTAGGCAGAGAGCACACTGCAGAGGGAAAAAAAACACATGTGTCACACTTCCAAAAGCACCAACAAATACTTTAAGCAAAATTTGTATTTACTTTTATATATATACTGTACCTCCACAATAGAGAACTTTCAGAGGGTACTTTGAATCGGGGTCGGCTGTCCCATGTTCTGATCTGCTTTCCAAAGACCCAGATTCCATCTCAGTAGTAGCCATAACAAAATTATCTAGATAAAAGACAGTCACATGAACAGAATAATCAAACACATGGGTCACATGCAGTGCAGGTTGTTTGTTTTCTATAAAAATCACCTTAAATAGTGAAAAAGCTCATTATATATAATTTACCACATTCCAGTGTATAGTTTTGTCAACAACCCAAACATATTCAGTTTACAGTCACAGAGACGGAAAGAAACAAAAACATCTTCAAATTTAACAAGCTGTAATGACAGAATTTGGACTTTTTATATTTTAAAAAAAATTACTCAAACTAATCAACCAACTATCTAAACAGTTGATTCATTGTATAGTTTACAACCAATTCCATTGATCACTGCAGATTATTTTGAGTGGCAGATTAATACACATGTATTATTCAAATGAGGCTAAATCAGACTTTGAATACACACAAAACACAAATGGTAATATCTCAATATTTCAAAGGTCTTTTCATGGACTTTATGGCACATAGAGGATATCACCACTTTTATGCTTTGAATGAGAAGTGCATATATAACTACTAAGAAATGAAAGCATTGTCATTGTTAAATAACCTTACTTACTGGTGTGTTAGTAAAGATGGAGAAAGAAGACAGAAAATATTAACGGTTTTAAATGGCAAAAACAATTCATTGTGTAATTTTTCTTTCAGTTGACTAATCTTTTCACAGAGGAAAGATTTGGTAAAAGGTGTAGAGAACACACTTGCACTAACAATAGTGTAAAATGAAAAGCAAGGATAAATTGAAATAATAATCCTAAAAAATTAAATCAGGTTAAACATCTGAAGGTTCCCCTCCTCAGCACAACTTACACACCAGTGTTAAAATGTGTTCATTATCAGACACCAGCACAGACATGAATGACCAAGGATCCTGCCAGTATTTCATCATGCTAGCCTGCCTGCCAACACTCAGCTTTAAGAGCCAGCACGGATCAGATACACGAGCAGCAGACAGCCGGCATCATGAAACAGACTCATGTGAACTGAAATAGGTCACAAGTGAGTCTCATATGGTTGAATTTAAAGCAGAGTACCACACAAGTGGCAACAACTAGCTTTAGCTCGCTAACACATGCGGCTTTTACATTTGCTGCGCGATTAAACACACCAGTTATCTCCAATATTCGGTGTAATAAAATCATTTTAGAGTCAGGATTATCTTGTGTGTTGTTCCAGTTGAGACGAAAAGTGCAAAGCTAACAATAAAACAGAATAAACCCTCGTACTCCATTCATCAGTTAACGTTGACTCACCCAGCTGTCACCGTTAGCATCTCAGGTTAGAGGCATTAGCTTAGCAGCCTAGCTGAGCGAACGCACCGCTAACTGGACACAATCTGCTTCTAATAACCGAATAAAGACACAAGAAATGTCGAGTTACCTACCCCGCACAATGAACTCTAAAACTGCTGTCTGCTCAGGAAAGCCGGTCGCATTATTAGCGCTACTTTGACTTTTAGAAGATCATTCTTATTGATTGAGGTGTAGTTGGCGTACTTTGAGCACGCCTAGTAGCGCTTCTTGTCGGAGTTGTTGAAGCGGCTGATGTGCTGCAGCGCCGCCTGCTGCTGAGGAGGAACAACGGCTTTAAAGTTACACTCGTCATTTTCCAGCCAGCTGGTGAAACAATGTAAAATCTCAAAAAATATAGTAATTTACATAAATAAATTACAGCTCTAAGATTTAGTTTTATATGATATAATGTGAATTTTATTTTGATTAAAAAGGAAATGTTTTACATTTTACGGTGGAATGAAGGAAATACTGAATCTGTTAACTTCAAGTTGACTTTTCTTAAAACTAAGTTGCAACAGTTCTCATTTGAGAGGAATCAAAATAGCATCTAACTGGAATTAAAATTATGTATGAAGCTAATTTGGATAAACTTAATTCGATTGTGTGTTACCAACTGAAGCAATCCATTGCCTCACAGATTGTCTTTGTACTGACTCTGCTGGACCGTAAGAAGGAGAAACTCTTAAAACTTAGAAAATGTAAAAGAAAGCAAGTCTGTCTTTTAGATTTATTTTGTCTACTCTCCTAACTCAGCTAGTTTTATGTTTTCACAACTCATGAAATGACTTTGAACTAACTGATCATCTGGAGTGTCAGTAACTCACATTTTTAAGGCAGCAGAGGAACTTCTTAGTTAGTTTCTCAGCTGAATGAACTTTAAATGACTCACAGTGAAGGCACTACAGAGCAGTGAATACCAAAACAACCAGACACAAAAATCACTTCTTTCCACAGGCCATCACTCTGATAAAAAATCAAATTGAAATTAAATTCAAAATTAGTCAGGTTAGTCTCCATAGTTAATAATGATGCAAGGCTATTATTTAAATTCATTAAGTTAAGTTCCATAATGATAAGACCTTAGAATCTTACCTATAATATTACATAGGTTGGGTTAATGTCCATAATGAATAATACTGTAGGATTTCAGCATTATAATAGAACATTTCATTCCAGCAATGTTGCTGTCTGCTGAACTACACTATTGTCCGCCTTCCTCATAAAAATAAAGAGTGAATAACTCTGTATTTATTATTAATAAGTATTCCTGTATCATCAGAATCTGCACGGTTTGCACTTAACTTTTCTTTTACTCAAAGCATGCTGTTTGAAACATACAGCTGCACACAGTAGTTAAATATATATTTTCTTTCTTTAACCTGTCGCCCTTGTATAAATGCATGTGTGTGTTTTTGTGTAAACACTTATACACATACTTAGCCAATGAAGCTAATGATTCTGATTTTCATATGAGCCTTTCTCAGAGGTGAGTCCCACACTGTAGCTTGGTGGAAACTTTCTTTGGGAATGTTTTCAGAAATTAGTTCTTAACAGAAATGTACTTAGTGTCATGTAAAGTTTTTCATTGTTTGATTGTTTTCCCACATTAGCAGGTCCAAACTGAATGTTTTCTAAGTTCATATTAAAATTTTGCATAGATTTTATCCATGCAATTAATTCATTCACGATTTTAAACCTGATGTTTAACAAAAACATGTTTTGACAAAAACTAAGCTGAAGGATTTTTTTTTTTTTTCCCCGCATTTATTTTATGTTCGTACTCATTAGAGTTACTTTTGGACTCCAGTGTCCCTCTTAATCCGGGACACTCAAAAGGTCTTGGTACTTATTTCAGACACTAGTCGTTTTATGGTTCTATGATCTGTTTTCTTTCTTTTAATTATTTTCTTTTTCTTTTTCTTTTTTAAACGTTGATATTAATAGCAAACAAGTTGTCAATAAAGTTTTAGGGGCAAAAAAAAAACATCGAGCTGCAGGACGTACGTCAGTTACGTCCACTCTCCGTACGTCCTTACGTCACTTGGTTCAAAAGTTGGTTAAAGTCTCCGAGAAGCTAACTTTAGCTACATATTTCAGTTTTCTATCCAAAGTTTTGTATTCGGTCTGTGATAATTAAGTGACATTTTGGAGCCCACATTGTTAAATTATATTAGCTCTTTAATTATCTATCTGACGGTTAGCTTTAAAGTCACTTGTTGATATGGTAAGTTAACGTTAGCTAGCCTTTTCGGCTAGCCCGCCTCCCAAAAGATGCCCACAACAACAACAATGATGGAGGCTGCTGGAGAATAAAGACAGCTTTGGAGTTGGGTGTAATATTAGTGGGAGACAGTTATGATGTGATGGACGACGGGAGAAGACTGTCCACCTCCAATGGAAGCGCTTTTGGAAAAGGTGAACATCAACACTCACTGTCCACCACAGTGCTTTGTAAAATATATGAAGGAAAGTTTTAACCATCTCACAGCAACTGTTGCTTTGTTTCCTCAGCTGAGCTCTGGCATAGCACTCCAGTTAAAAAGGTACGTAGGAACAATAAACTTTTCTTTTTCTTTTTTTCTTTTTTTTTGATATAGCATGCTTCAAAAACTTACAAAAAAAGCTACAAAGTGCTTTACAAGTAAAATATATAATAAAAGTAATAAATACCAGATTTTAGAATATAAACAAGACATTTTTTAATGTGGTCCACATGTGGAACATCTGTCTTATAGCCCTGTACAGTGTGATTGTGATGTGTACAATCAGTTTATAGTGGTATAAGAAGTATTTTATTTCTTTATTTTTTTGCTCTAATCTTGTGTTTAAAATTATACAATGAAGCAAATCACAAAGGTTGTTCCTCTGGCCTGACATATATGCTGTTTCACGTTTGTTATTATTATTACTTTATGATTATTATTTTCTTAGCGCAATCGTGGCATTTTGTCATATGCCACGTAAAACTGTACATAAGAAGTACATGTTTGAAGGAAATTATATCTATAAGTTGTGATCCTTTAGGATATAGAACTGTTCATTTTTTTGATGGTGTCTCATGTGGTAATGCTTATGTGCAGTGCTGTGTCGCCGTATTTTACAAATCTATTTGCTTTCTTCTTATTTCTTAGTAACTAGTCAACAAAAATGTCCATTAACCTAGATTTAATTAAATCCTAAATTTAATTGATTCCCCAGTTAAGAAATACATCCTCCTACTTCTTTCAGGGCACCCCCCCAACCATATCTCTAAACCATTTCGACCAAACCCAAACAATACAAGCTCATTTTATTTTTTAAGATTTATTTTTGTTTTCTTAAATGTAATTTTATGTATTAGCTAGTTGTACCTAATAAATAGGCAACTGAATTTTTATAATTTCACTTTACAGAAAAATGATGTTCCTCCTCTTGATGCTAGCCAAACATCTGGAATAACCAGCTTCAAGATGGACACCACAGGAAATCGTTGGCCTATAGGTACCCATCTTACCCCACCAGACACCCACTGTCCTCCCAGCTTTCAGGAGACTCAGGTGAGAACAAAGTTGAATTAATAACCAGTTAAACGGGTACAGCCTCAGGAACTCGTTTATTGAGTATATTTGGTCAATGTTTGTGATGGTTTTAGGAATGAGCTCTGCAGTTTTTTTGTCTTCTTGACCCCAAGTTGACAAATTGTTTTGTTGTTGTTGTTAAACCAAAATGTGAAAACCCAAAGTTGCTCAGTGAACTACCATGAAAAAATACAGCAAATATTCATAGATATTTATGTGGACACAAGAACTAGTCAGCTTTTGGCATCGTATTTAAAACTACTACTTATTAAAATTGTTAAATTGAATAGATTTTTTTTATTGATTGGCTCTTTGAGTTATTGCGTCAGTGTTTCAGTTCTATTCACTCTGTAAACAAGCTACTTTATGGTGACATAGGCTTTTTGTGTCCTTTGCAAAAGTGTCCTGTGAGTGACCTGAGCAGCTCCACCATCCAGAGGCAGAGGAGGGAGCTGCAGCTGCTGATTGCTGAACTGAAGGACAGGGAGAAGGAGCTGAACGCCATGGCTGCCTCCCATCAAAAGCAGCATCACGCCTGGGAACAAGACCGCCAGAGGGTGCTGAGCCTGGAGCAGAGATGTGCCCGTTTGGATGGTGAGGAGGCACAAGGATATGTTCTTTAATTAGATACAGGCCCAGCTCTACTTCTTATTTGTTTAGCGTCTTATTTCAAATCACAATTTTGTCTCAAGGGCTTTTACACTTTCTGAAGGAAATTACACATGCCATGCTTTGACTCTAAAACACACTCCCTCAAAATAGCTTGGACAGGGAAAAAATGGATCAAACCTTCAGAGCAGTAACAGAGGAGGGATCCCTTTTTCATGCAATCAACAGTCATGTGTACAAACTAGATCGCCACAATGACACTACTGTGTGGTCAGTCAGGTTGGCACAATGACAGACTTACTGAAAATATGAAGAAACATGGCTATTACTGCAATGAGGCAACAACAGACAGAATTTTAGTCACATTTTAGCATCAAAACTACAAATTCTATACTGAGGGGTTTTTAACAATTGAAGATTTCTAAAGTTTATTTTTGGACTGTAATAATTGTTTTGTCTATAAATGTTCTAATAATGGAGAAAATTGCAACAATGCATTTTAATATTCCCATATTCCCACCATTCTCAAATGTACAATAAACTAAATGTCTTTGGGTTTAAGGACAAAACAAAACATTTGAGGATGTCATCTTGAGCTTTGGCAAACACTGATCAACATTTCTCACCTTGTTTTGATGTTTTATAGACCATACAACTCATCAATTAATCAAGAAAACAGTCCATAGTTTAAAAAAAGAATGTATTCGTTAGTTGAAGTCCTACATACCAGCACTCCATAATCAACAATGTTCAGTTTATTATTACACATGGCAAAGATATGGTAATAAGTATCTGACAATTCATTTTATGTCAGTCAGCTGATTGTTTCTGTTCCTCATACCCCATCTGCGTGCTGATTCCACCGTTCAGGAGTTGTTAAAGGTGTCTTCTCACCAGTAATTATTTTTGATGCATGTACAGAGGAGTTGCTGAAGCGTAACGAGGTGATCAGAGTCCTGACGAAGCGTGTGTGGCTTGTGGAAACCGGGGAGAAGGAGGTCCAGAAGGAGCTGAGCACCGCCCAGCAGCAGCTCTGTGAGCTGGAAAAGAAGCAGCAGCACATTAGTGAAAAATGTCAAGATTTTGAGGTATAACTTAAACATCAATGCTTATTTATGTAATGCCTGTTCATGTTCATGTTCATGTTCAAAACTTTATTATCAACCCACATTTACTAACTGTTTGTATTTGTGCACTTATTCTTTTGGTACTTGCATATTTCATAACCTATACAAAACAGTGCAGGATCTCAAACTAGTAACTATTTTCACATGATGAAAATTGTTTTACAAGTACAAAAAAATGTAGAATCAACATTTGACATGTACATTAGACAAGGATAAAGCAAATACATTAAGAACAAACAGGTTATTCATCATCCATTCATCTGGACTTGAGTCCATCCCAGCTGACTCAGGGAGAAGGTACCATGGTAATGCAATGTCGTCAATGAGGACAGGCATAGACACATCAATGGACAGATCAAATAAAATATTCACATTAATTACAAAATACACCAGGTTTCAATCAACTGGAATTGTCCTTCAAGCGTCTGTGATGTCTTTCAGGAGAAGAACCAGAGTCTGAGCTCCACAGTTATGGCTTTGTCCACTCAGGTCGGCTCTCTGCAGGTCAGAGAGGAAGAGCTGAGCTCCATGCTCAAACTGAAGGTATACCAGTCAGTCTGTCTACTAAATATAAAAGGATGACTATTAGGTTAAGTTGTATCTGTGCTGACTTTTCATCATTATATTTTTTAATTCTTTCAGGACAAAGATGTGACCGAAGCCTCCAATCATATACTGGACCTCTCAGGGCGCCTTCGAGGGCTGGAGACAGCACTAACAGAGAGTCGCTCACGGGAAAACAAGCTCCTGAGAGAGCTGGAGGAAAATAAACACCGCTACAGAGAAGCCACACATGAGGTCACACAGCTTAAAGGTGCATGATTAGAACATTTAACTTCATATAAATATATTGTTAACAACCTAATAATGCATCATCAATCACATGAGAATACATTAAATTATACAGGAAAAAACTCTACAGATTGCTAAGTAGGGAAAATATGTAATTGTGATTATTCTGACAGATACTGTACTCTGATTTGTTTCAGTGCAGTGCTCACAGTGTAACAGATTTACCATGTTGCACGGTATGAGATACCATAAAGAATGTTCCTGTCATACAATTAAGACAATGACTTTATAAAATCATGAACACAATACTTTAAATCGTATCTCAGATGCTTTAAAATAGAAAAATGTACAAGGTGTGGCTATTAAATAGTGATTCTGGTCTTATATCAGATGAACCACGCACTATACGTGATCAGTTGGCAGCATAGACCAACCATGAAAGTTTCAGTCTGCTCAAATTGTATAAAATTGAATTACAGCATTAGTCTCATCATTTAATCACACCTTGTAAATCCTAAATTACAGCCTTTGTGATTTCCTGATTGCATAGTTTGGACGTGGGATTCAGATTTAAAATGGATTAATTGTCCAGCCCCAGACAAGAGCCTGGCTCATCCGTCACCTTCACACAGCTGACCAATCACAGCGTGAAGTAGATATGAAGGTCAGATGGTCTATTTCAGATAATCAGTGATACATACACTGGCTATCCAACGGCAGAAAGTTCAGACAGTCTAACATTCCAAAAACCAAAGATAACCAATTCATGTATGTCATGTGTGACAAAAAGAGCAGTGAATCTGCACATTTGAGATGCTGAACCAAGGAAATGTTTGACATTCTTGCTTAAAACTGACAGAAACATCAAGTCAGTCGATTACACTGGTCTACACTGATTTTGGTGTCAAAGTTTTTGGAGCTGATTTTGCACAGTTGCAACGTGCTGAATCCAAATATTACATTTGTTTTGCTAAATGAGGTCAAAATTTTGATTTGATTAAACATGCAATTTACTTGTATTTACCTTTACAAATGTTTACACTCATCAACTTGTGGATCATTTAGCTTATGAAAAGGATTAGAAAATGAAAATTTTCCTCTAAAATACGATTTCATATGAGAAATACTAAAATAAATCAATCAATCACTAATGTAAAAAAATGTAATCGATTTAGTGGTAAAATCGATTTTTTAAAATAGAGTTGGCATAAAACCTGACCTGATACAGAAAAGCAGATGTCATTTTTGGATTCAGTGTTACAAAAATGTCCTAAATCAGTTAAAAAAGAGACACCTTCAAAAAAAGTGTTTTTTTGTAACCCAGTGTTATCAAAGTCCTGGCTATTTAATGTCCTTGATTAAGCCACTAATGATCGAATCTCCACATGTCTTGTTCTCCTCTATGTCATTTTGTGTTTACAGAGGAGCTGCAGCTGCAGGTCACACAGAGCAGCACCCAGCGAGAGGAGATCATCCGTCTCAAGCAGGAGCTCCAGCTGCTCCGCAGAGATCTGGTCCTGACAGGTACAGAACCAACCAACATCAGTCCAGTCCACTCTTCTACACTGTTTATCAGTTTAAAGATTGTATATATTCATCTTATGTATGTATTTATATTGTGCTGCTATTGTTACATGGATACTCAGAAAAAAAAGGTTTTAATCTTGAGTGTCGTCTTTTGCTGGTTAATTACGTCTTCATCAACATATAGAGATTTTAGTGAAGGTAAACATAGTACAGGATTTTTTCCAAGATAAGGTACTAATCCTTTATGTATTAGATAAAGCTGCAATCAATGATAGCTTTCATTACTGTTTAATCTATTTGAAATGTTTCATAATTCAGTCTACAAAATATTTTTAAAAAAACACAAAAATGACAAATTCCCTGAGCTCAAGTGGACATATTTAAGTTGATTTTGAGAAAACCTCAGTCAAAACCCAAACTTATTCACTTTCAGTAATATTAAACTGAGAACAGCAAGAATTCTTCATATTAGAGATGATGAAACAATTTTTGGCGTTTTACTCATGATGAAAGATTCAGAGTTGACAGGTGCAGTGAATTTAGAAGAACTAGCAGGGATATGTGGCGATAATGACTGTTTACCTGTAGAAGTATGAGAGTATGTATGTCTGCATTCTACCTTTTTCTGATTGTGATCTGTGCAGTAGCTGGTTTTTAAACAATAAATAAGAGCAGCATTTGATGTTTTTCACCAGGAGAGGGCGACAGCTGGAAAGACGAACTGCTGGAGCTGTCTCGTTCCAAACAGGAACGCATCATGTCTGAGCTGCGCTGCCTCCGACAGGTATTTAGTATGTAATACTTCACTGAGGGACTTCAAAACTAAAACTAACTCATCCACTCAATAAACTGTGATAAAACTGGATCACAGCACAGGAGATGCGTCTTTCCTCATTCCTCCTGCTGCACTGTTGTTGACGTCAGAGGCGACTTTCTGGTTTGGCTGCATACCTCAGACTGTTCCTGCACCTTCGTCACTGTGACTGTGTTACACTGGGTCACTGCCATGTCCAATACTTGTCACCACTGTTCAACAGCGACTAGAAATGTAGACAGTGGACCTTCTGGGCTCAAGCTTGTGAAAGGCCTCTTACCCCATCCATGTAGGAGCACCCAAACTGAAAGCTACATTGTGTGCAGTTGTTTTATGTCTTTGTGTGATCATTTTTTGTCTCTTTGTAGTGTAGTGATTGAGTGTCTCGTTGTAGTTTTTTGACATGTTTTTGTAATTGTTTTGCATCTGTTTTCGGTGATTTTATGTCTCTTTATGGTGATTTTACATCTCTTTGTTGTCCATTTTCTGTGTTCATTTTCTGTTTCTTTGTGGTCAATAGACAAGCCAAGTGTGAATTTATTTAACTGCAGCCTTTGTAGTGCAAAATTCACCAGTTTTACCACCAGTTTATACATTTTCAGTGTACATTTGGGCATGTGACTGGTGAACATATGCTAAAAGTGTTGAATAGTTTGTGTTTGACAATCTTTCAATAAATACAGGTAATGCTGTTTGTATGTGTTTTCCAGGTGTGTGAGAATCAGCAGAATGACTTGCAGTTGCTGCGACTGAACCAGGAAAGTGCCCGTGAAAGCCTGAAGGACAAAACCAGTCACGGATTATTTGGCAGGTGAATAACGTCCAAGCACAAGAAGTCGAAAGCACATGCACGTTTTACACTGTAGTTTCATGGCTGTAGAGATGCTACAATATTGGAGTCAGATAGTGAAGAATGGCCTTCATGCAGCCCGGATGAGGACCAGATTTCGGAGTTGAAAGTAATCAAAGCCACACTTAGTGATAAATGTCATTTTGTTGTAGACCCATAAATGTGCCACTCTGAAATGTGTGATGTATGAACTTTCTGTAGTTCATGTATTAAGCAGAATGTGGTGGAGTTGTATTTTGAATCCTGTTTGATATTTTACAGTTATTAAGTAGCTTCCTTGGTGGTGGAGTTGCGGCCACACAATTAAAGATGGCTTCTCTTTCTCTAATCAAGCTAGACCGTGTGCAGGAGTCCCTGTGACACCTTTGTATCTTTAACAACAGAAATCATTATTGAGATATTGTCTCTCTTTGTGTCCCAGCCAGGATGAGTTATCATGTCACTGTGTGGACCATCAGTCACCTTCATCACTCAGAGGGAACAACCTAAGACCAGTACACGATACCTCGACTCCACCAGCAGCTGATTTGCAAGGCTTAGCCAACAGTGAACTGGGAGTCTTCTCAGCACACCTGACAGATGTAAGGCATCTTGTGTTAAGATCAGTTTTGTCACTAAAATAACAATTATTTTAAGCAAAGGTACACAGCGTAACCTGCTGTTAAAGCCTGATTAATCCTGTATCCATGTCAGGGATCATTTAGATTTGTAAGTCATTAATGAAGTCACTGCTGTTGTCCCAGGTGTGTGTAGCACAACTCTCTTGCTTTAAAAACGCTCACATCTTGCTGCTGTCTGATGCTGCAGGTATTCATTAAACACAGAGGAAAAACTCCTACAAACAGCTTGAATCAAAGTAAAGTTGAGCTTCTGTTAGCGTTTTGTCAAAACCTTATTGACTCTGTCTTTATCACAGTAAAATGTTCTTATCATGGACATTTTATTTGTTACTTTGGCCCCAAAGTGTGCCATTTGCTTTTTTGTGATATTTTTGGACTAATATTGTTGGTCTTATTTGAGCTTTGTTTCTGTCTGATCAGGGGGATGTCCGTCTGTCCAGCTGTTCTCTGCAGCAGCTGTTGGATGAGTCCAGGTTGGTCGTGACCGGCTCAGAGAACAGCAGTTTGAGACGCCACAGCTCTTTAAAGAATAGCAGCCTTGCTATAAACTGTGGGACCACTGAACCTCTTTACTTCCGTGAGCGCAGGACACCCCACCGCCATCACCATCCAAGTACCTCGATACTCCAGGTAGAGGACTTTCATGATGCTGGGCCTCTTCTCCTCTCTGTCTCCATTTGTATTCATGGGGTGTGGCATGACGGGTGCAACATGTTTGGTTTAACAGTTCCTCCTTTTAGTTGGGGTGTGTTAGCCGTAACAGCTTTATGTTTTTTTTTTCCTAGCAGACTGGTGAAACTCCACCCAAGTCCTGCCCTCAACATGGAGCCAGCCAGCCATGTGGACGTCTTAATGTGAACTGAAGCATCAATTCAGTATTCACCAAAGTGCGAAATATTAAGCACTGGAATCAGACTCAAAAATCAGTGTTACTACATTTAACAGCTCCACATGCCAAAGCTTGAAGTCTACTATCTCTCCAGTAAAACAAAGAAATGTTAAAAAATAAATTAAAAAATTCCACAGTGTTAAACGTTTTTATACCCTTAATATTGTTTTATATGTGTTACTCTAATTTTATAAAAATCTGCCATTGATTAACACACTTCAACTGTGTATTTTTTAAAATCTTGATAAAGGTTTTTAAAGGCTGTATTGTGTGTGCTGGGTGAGATGTGAAACCAGTCCTACAGGGCTGTTTAGTCCTGTGTCCTTGTTTTGTCTTTCCAGTTTCACTGCCTACAGATCTGCCTTGTGACTCAGAGGAGATGTCTATAGCTGTGAATAGTTTTTACAACGTGTAACTTGGATATCGTGTCACAACTTTTTGATAAAATATTTATGGAAACTACACATCAGTGGTATTTCATTGCCTGACAATCGCGTTATTGATTTGTGGAGTAGAGGTTTGGTGCGCGTTTTTACGCATTTGGCGAGCTTTTACGCACCAAAGGACCTGCTTCGTTTCCTCGTTGTGGAGGTTTGTTTTGAAATGATGCTGTTGATTTAAAGGAGAAAAAAGAGGGAAAAGAGGAACGAGAACATAAAGGTGAGGAGCTTAAATCTGGAGCTGAACCACTTTATTTTTTACATCTAATTTTTGGTTCACAACATGAGCAAATCGAAGAATAAAAGCGATAATAAGACGGAAAAGGCTTTGGCTGCGGAGAAGGAACAGTTTGGTAAACAGCAGGTGAGTAGTTCACTTTATTAAGGCTAAACGGGCCACTGTTGTCACAGGTTAGTTGACTTTATTGTTCTTTGATTTCAGCTCCACAGCATCAGCAAAATCGTCGCCACTGCTGAAACACCGCCCAAAGAGAAATATGTGCGCAGGATCCTTTTATCAGTCAATCAGGCTGTCTGGAAGTATAAAGTAACCTAGACTATTTTCTGCCAAATGACTTCATTTCACTTTATTAAACTTTCAAGGTGCAGATAGACAAGGTACTTTGGATAAGATGATATTCTACTGGCATGCTAGTGACTTTGTGAGTTTGTAGGTTTAGCTAAATGTTGGCTCTTAGTTTTTTTGTTTTTTTTTTAGCATTTTAATATCTGCTAATGATTTAAAAACAAAAGTGTAGCTATGATGTATGGCTCTGTGAGGTTAGAATATTAAACAAATTTAACACGCTATGCTAATGCTAACTGGCTGACTGTTGCAATGCTAGCTCCCTTAGATAGTGTGCTAACATTTGCTGATGAGATAAAAAGAAAAATGCAGCTGAGATATTGGGTTATGTTTCAACAAAATTGACACATTGCTGTTATTAATGTTACTATGACGAAAAAGTTCACACTGAGAAGGACATGAATGTGTTTACTAAATTTAAATCCATCCATTAGTGCTATGCTAATACTAACTGGGTCACTGCTACAATGCTAGCACTTGTAGTTTTTTAACATACAAACATTTGATAATGGTGTAGCTTGGAAATTGTGCTACATTAAACCTAAATACTGGACAAATTTTAAATTTCAAGGTGGAATTATTTCATTATCATGAAAAGCTGATCCTGAAAGGAACATGAATGTGTCATTAAATTTAAATTCATGTTAGTTTGTCAGCATGCTAACATTTGCTAATAACAGAAAAGCTAAAGTGCTGCTCAGGTATTTGGCTGCGCTAAACTAACTAAAGGGCAAATTAGTAACTTGAAAGTCATAATAGCGCTGAAAGGCCACATGAATGTGTGAATCAAATTTAAATCAGTCTATTCATGCTTTGCTAATGCTAGAAGTCCCACCATTACAATGCTAATGCCATTTTGTTAGCATGTTTACTACAGTTTTCTGTATGTTATTTCATTCTTTTAGATGTCCTGTGCTGTTGATATACACCATAGAAAATATTCAAACTAGTCAAACTCGTGAATAAGCAATGTGTTCTTTATTTTCTAAAAAGGCACAAGTTTGATGACTTATTACATATCAAAGACAGTGTTTCAGACTATTTCCACCACAGGTCACCTTGTGCACTAGCATTTTGGAGTCTCCTTGACAGCTGCACAGATATCATCATGGGAACCCATAAGGAGGGTGGAGCGACCACCTTCTGGTCCTACACCCTCAACCTGCCTCTGTCCAGTAACTCCATGGTCAGCTGGAAGTTCTGCTATCTGTTGCACAAAGTGCTGAGGGGCGGACACAGAAATGTAAATACAGATTCTCATTGTCCTCCACTTTCTTACACCACTAGTTCCTGTCATGTCAGTGATGTGTAATCTGCCTGATCTGTGTCTTGCTTACAGGCTGTTGCAGATTCTTACAGATACTGCCGCAATGTAAAAGACCTGGGCATCCTGTGGGTGAGTAGCTGCCACAATAAGCTCCAGCTTAGATTCTAACTGGAGAAGATCATTGATTGATTTCTTTTTTCTTGAGCAACAGATAGGGTTGAGAAAGTATATCTCTCTCTTTTAAGTTTAATTTGGTTTTTGTTCGCCTGTTTTTTGTGTCCATCTTCAGATACATTATTTTAATTTATCAATTACCTGAATCATTTGTTTTAAAACTTAGTGGCTACACTACTGTATTAATAAAGTTATGTAATAATGTGTTGTTTTTTTCAGGGAAGCTTACATGATCGATACGGTCACATCGTCGCCTTGTCTGCGAAATTTCTCAGCCTCAAAATGGAATTTCATGCAAAGGTAATACATTTCCATTTTTTTGAATGAGCCACACAATCATTTACAGAAGTATTTTTTATTCTATTTTGTAATTGGTCAAAAGGTGCATGTTTCACAGCAGAATGTTTTCTGCATCACTTTCCGGATTTTAGCCTTTAGAGACAAAAGAATGAAGAAAGAAAGAAAACACAAATGCACTGTATTCATACTCCTACGAATTAGACGTATTTCCTCTGTTTAATGCTTGATAACATCCAGTGTAAATGTCACAGAACTGGGATTCATGGCTAGAATAAATGTGAGAATTGAATTAAATGGACATTTTTTTGGAAAAGTAAAAAAGGACTTATTATTCAATCAAACAGCTTTCCTTGAGATACTAGTAAATTTGTTTTTGGTGTTAAAAAGAAGTTCAAGGAGTTTTTAATTGCCTTTAAATGGCCTTGAATGTGCACACGGAGAACACAGCTATAATAAAAATAGAAAGGGTATTTGAAATATATTTTTTTATTAATCACACATTTGTAGTATAAGATGCAATCATTCTAGACCTGTATTTGTGTGATAGAGTTACATTTGGTTAAT